GTCATACAATAACACATTGTAGATCTCATTGTGGTAGGCCCAAAAGCACAAACGTTACGCTTAAAGAGTGACTCTTTATTCAGCGCTACCATAACCAAAACATGAAATTTAAAATGGTACTTTATAGTGTAATTAACCTATAGGGATAAATTAGACCTTGTTGTCTCTGATGTTCAATACACTTCCATGTTAAAAGCATTCATGTCCGGTCGTCATCCAAAAATGTTGTTTATTTGACCACCTAACGCTCTAGCCGCATCCATAGAAGAAAAATTATGTCGAGTTTTGTCACCAGCTCGATTGCAAGTGACTCTAAACCATATGATATTGACCCTCTATCAGAAAGTTTTTGTGAGCAAATACTATAATTCGTATCTGAAAGAGAATGAGGATTGTGGTTTCAATCCAGTGGAACCATCTTTAACGAATTCTTGCATTCGTTCCTGAAAAAAATTAGAAAATCTATACAGATATAACTTGCAACAATCGGAGAAAAATCTTTTTATATACTTGGCGAGATTTCTCTAATTGTTTCAATTTGCCTCCTCAAAATGACTAATAGTTTCTAAATGTAATTAGTAAGCAAAAAGATAGCATCTCATAATATGATGATTAGATCAAATAATTCTCTTAGAAAGTTCTTTGATCTGATTTGTTTTGAAGAGGTAGCTTGGACTCATAGATTCCCCCTAAATATATCTTTAATCTCTTTCCACTACATTAAAACTATGGTGGAAAGTTGTATGTGGATTTAACATGAAATAAATCATTTTTCCATCAGTCTAGAATACTCAAACAACATTAAGAAACTTGTCTAACGTAGCTACTTAAAGTGTTATGTCCAATTATAATGGCCTTTTGTACCGCAAGGCTATGTACCAAGGTTACTGTGACTACCAGCACTAGGGCTCAACACTTTACACTGAAACCCTACCGTTATGGAAAGAGGTAGAGGATTTATTTGTAAGCAGAGATCTAGGCTTAAGTTATCTTTACAAAAAAACAAGGATAAGATTAAGAAAAGTGAACACATTTTCTTTTGAACTCTATATAGATAGTTTAAAAATGATATGTAATCACGCAGTTTTCCCATAGTTGCGCACCATTTAAATTCTTTCATCATTATATAT